TCGATCCCCTCATGGGCCACATTTTTTATTGTAGCCGTAAATAATTGTAAGAGTTCATTGTTTGTGACGTCGTTGTCGATAAATTGCTCATGTGTAACATTCGTCAAAGCCCATTAGCTCAGTTGGTTAGAGCGTCGTGGGCCATGGGCCACATATTTTATTGTAAGCGTAAATAATTGTAAGAGTTCATTGTTTGTAACATCGTGTCAATAAATTGCTCATTTGAAGCAATCGTCAAGGCCCATTAGCTCAGTTGGTTAGAGCGTCCTGCTAATAACGCGAAGGTCGCGAGTTCGATCCCCTCATGGGCCACATATTTTATTGAAAGCGTAAATAATTGTAAGAGTTCATTGTTTGTAACGTCGTGTCGATAAATTGCTTGTATAGCATTCGTCAAGGCCCATTAGCTCAGTTGTTGGTTAGAGCGTCGTGCTAATAACGCGAAGGTCGCGGGTTCGATCCCTCATGGGCCACATATTTATTGTAAGCGTAATTAATTGTAAGAGTTCATTGTTTTGTAACGTTCGTGTCGATAAATTGCTCATGTGTAACATCGTCAAGGCCCATTAGCTCAGTGTTGGTTAGAGCGTCGTGCTAATAACGCGAGGTCGCGGGTTCGATCCCCTCATGGGCCACATATTTTATTGTAAGCGTAATTAATTGTAAGAGTTCATTGTTTGTAACGTCGTGTCGATAAATTGCTCATGTGTAACATTCGTCAAGGCCCATTAGCTCAGTGGTTAGAGCGTCGTGCTAATAACGCGAAGGTCGCGGGTTCGATCCCCTCATGGGCCACAAATTTTATTGTAAGCGTAATTAATTGTAAGAGTTCATTGTTTGTAACGTCGTGTCGATTAAATTGCTCATGTGAACATTGTCAAGCCCATTAAACAAAATTTATTTGTAGCGTAAGTAATTGTAAAGAGTTCAATGTTGTAACGTCGTGTCGATAAATTGCTCTGTGTAACATTCGTCAAGGCCCATTAGCTCAGTTGGTTAGAGCGTCGTGCTAATAACGCGAAGGTCGCGGGTTCGATCCCCTCATGGGCCACATATTTTATTGTAAGCGAAAATAATTGTAAGAGTTATTGTTTGTAACATGTGTGTCAATAATTGCTCATTTGAAGCAATCGTCAAGGCCCATTAGCTCAGTTGGTTAGAGCGTCGTGCTAATAACGCGAAGGTCGCGGGTTCGATCCCCTCATGGGCCACATATTTTATTGTAAGCGTAAATAATTGTAAGAGTTCATTGTTTGTAACTTCGTGTCGATCAATTGCTCATATGGAACAGTCGTCAAGGCCCATTAGCTCAGTTGGTTAGAGCGTCGTGCTAATAACGCGAAGGTCGCGGGTTCGATCCCCTCATGGGCCACATATTTTATTGTAAGCGTAAATAATTGTAAGAGTTCATTGTTTGTAACTTCGTGTCGATCAATTGCTCATGTGTAACATTCGTCAAGGCCCATTAGCTCAGTGGTTTTTTAGAGCGTCGTGGGCCATGGGCCACATATTTTATTGTAAGCGTAAATAATTGTAAGAGTTCATTGTTTGTAACATCGTGTCAATAAATTGCTCATTTGAAGCAATCGTCAAGGCCCATTAGCTCAGTTGGTTAGAGCGTCGTGCTAATAACGCGAAGGTCGCGAGTTCGATCCCCTCATGGGCACATATTTTATTGTGAAGCGTAAATAATTGTAAGAGTTCATTGTTTGTAACGTCGTGTCGATCAATTGCTCATATGGACCAGTCGTCAAGGCCCATTAGCTCAGTTGGTTAGAGCGTCGTGCTAATAACGCGAAGGTCGCGAGTTCGATCCCCTCATGGGCCACGTATTTTATTGTAAGCGTAAATAATTGTAAGAGTTCATTGTTTGTAACGTCGTGTCGATAAATTGCTCATGTGTAACATTCGTCAAGGCCCATTAGCTCAGTTGGTTAGAGCGTCGTGCTAATAACGCGAAGGTCGCGGGTTCGATCCCCTCATGGGCCACAAATTTTGTGTAACATTCGTCAAGGCCCATTAGCTCAGTTGGTTAGAGCGTCGTGCTAATAACGCGAAGGTCGCGGGTTCGATCCCCTCATGGGCCACATATTTTATTGTAAGCGTAATTAATTGTAAGAGTTCATTGTTTGTAACTTCGGTGTCGATAATTTGCTCATGTGTAACATTCGTCAAGGCCCATTAGCTCAGTTGGTTAGAGCGTCGTGCTAATAACGCGAAGGTCGCGGGTTCGATCCCCTCATGGGCCACATATTTTATTGTAAGCGTAAAATAATTGTAAGAGTTCATTGTTTGTAACGTCGTGTCGATAAATTGCTCATGTGTAACATTCGTCAAGGCCCATTAGCTCAGTTGGTTAGAGCGGTTCGATCCCCTCATGGGCCACATATTTTATTGTAAGCGTAATTAATTGTAAGAGTTCATTGTTTGTAACGTCGTGTCGATAAATTGCTCATGTGACATTCGTCAAGGCCCATTAGCTCAGTTGGTTAGAGCGTCGTGCTAATAACGCGAAGGTCGCGGGTTCGATCCCCTCATGGGCCACATATTTTATTGTAAGCGTAAATAATTGTAAGAGTTCATTGTTTGTAACTTCGTGTCGATAAATTGCTCATTGTATAACAGTCGTCAAGGCCCATTAGCTCAGTTGGTTAGAGCGTCGTGCTAATAACGCGAAGGTCGCGGGTTCGATCCCCTCATGGGCCACATATTTTATTGTAAGCGTAAATAATTGTAAGAGTTCATTGTTTGTAACTTCGTGTCGATCAATTGCTCATATGTAACAGTCGTCAAGGCCCATTAGCTCAGTTGGTTAGAGCGTCGTGCTAATAACGCGAAGGTCGCGGGTTCGATCCCTCATGGGCCACATATTTTATTGTAAGCGTAAATAATTGTAAGAGTTCATTGTTTGTAACTTCGTGTCGATCAATTGCTCATATGGAACAGTCGTCAAGGCCCATTAGCTCAGTTGGTTAGAGCGTCGTGCTAATAACGCGAAGGTCGCGCGGTTCGATCCCCTCATGGGCCACAAATTTTATTGTAAGCGTAATTAATTGTAAGAGTTCATTGTTTGTAACGTCGTGTCGATAAATTGCTCCTGTATGAACATTTGTCAGGCCCATTAACTCAAATTTATTGTAGCGTAATTAATTGAAGAGTTCAATGTTTTTTTTGTAACGTCGTGTCGATAAATTGCTCTTGTATAGCATCGTCAAGGCCCATTAGCTCAGTTGGTTAGAGCGTCGTACTAATAACGCGAAGGTCGCGGGTTCGATCCCCTCATGGGCCACATATTTTATTGTAAGCGTAAATAATTGTAAGAGTTCATTGTTTGTAACTTCGTGTCGATAAATGCTCATTGAACAATCGTCAAGGCCCATTAGCTCAGTTGGTTAGAGCGTCGTCCTCTAATAACGCGAAGGTCGCGGGTTCGATCCCCTCATGGGCCACATATTTTATTGTAAGCGTAAATAATTGTAAGAGTTCATTGTTGTGTAACTTCGTGTCGATCAATTGCTCATATGGAACAGTCGTCAAGGCCCATTAGCTCAGTTGGTTAGAGCGTCGTGCTAATAACGCGAAGGTCGCGGGTTCGATCCCCTCATGGGCCACATATTTTATTGTAAGCGTAAATAATTGTAAGAGTTCATTGTTTGTAACTTCGTGTCGATCAATTGCTCATGTGTAACATTCGTCAAGGCCCATTAGCTCAGTTGGTTAGAGCGTCGTGGGCCATGGGCCACATATTTTATTGTAAGCGTAAATAATTGTAAGAGTTCATTGTTTGTAACTCGTGTCGATAAATTGCTCATTTGAAGCAATCGTCAAGGCCCATTAGCTCAGTTGGTTAGAGCGTCGTGCTAATAACGCGAAGGTCGCGAGTTCGATCCCCTCATGGCCACATATTTTATTGTAAGCGTAAATAATTGTAAGAGTTCATTGTTTTTGTAACTTCGTGTCGATCAATTGCTCATATGTAACATTCGTCAAGGCCCATTAGCTCAGTTGGTTAGAGCGTCGTGCTAATAACGCGAAGGTCGCGGGTTCGATCCCCTCATGGGCCACATATTTTATTGTAAGCGTAAATAATTGTAAGAGTTCATTGTTTGTAACGTCGTGTCGATAAATTGCTCATTTGTAACATTCGTCAAGGCCCATTAGCTCAGTTGGTTAGAGCGTCGTGCTAATAACGCGAAGGTCGCGGGTTCGATCCCCTCATGGGCCACATATTTTATTGTAAGCGTAATTAATTGTAAGAGTTCATTGTTTGTTAATCGTGTCGATAAATTGCTCATGTGTAACATCGTCAAGGCCCATTAGCTCAGTTGGTTAGAGCGTCGTGCTAATAACGCGAAGGTCGCGGGTTCGATCCCCTCATGGGCCACATATTTTATTGTAAGCGTAATTAATTGTAAGAGTTCATTGTTTGTAACGTCGTGTCGATAAATTGCTCATGTGTAACATTCGTCAAGGCCCATTAGCTCAGTTGGTTAGAGCGTCGTGCTAATAACGCGAAGGTCGCGGGTTCGATCCCCTCATGGGCCACATATTTTATTGTAAGCGTAAATAATTGTAAGAGTTCATTGTTTGTAACGTCGTGTCGATCAATTGCTCATATGAACAGTCGTCAAGGCCCATTAGCTCAGTTGGTTAGAGCGTCGTGCTAATAACGCGAAGGTCGCGGGTTCGATCCCCTCATGGGCCACATATTTTATTGTAAGCGTAAATAATTGTAAGAGTTCATTGTTTGTAACTTCGTGTCGATCAATTGCTCATATGGAACAGTCGTCAAGGCCCATTAGCTCAGTTGGTTAGAGCGTCGTGCTAATAACGCGAAGGTCGCGGGTTCGATCCCCTCATGGGCCACATATTTTATTGTAAGCGTAATTAATTGTAAGAGTTCATTGTTTGTAACGTCGTGTCGATAAATTGCTCATATGGAACATTCGTCAAGGCCATTGTGCGAATAACGCGAAGGTCGCGGGTTCGATCCCCTCATGGGCCACAAATTTTATTGTAAGCGTAATTAATTGTAAGAGTTCATTGTTTGTAACGTCGTGTCGATAAATTGCTCATGTGTAACATTCGTCAAGGCCCATTAGCTCAGTTGGTTAGAGCGTCGTGCTAATAACGCGAAGGTCGCGGGTTCGATCCCCTCATGGGCCACATATTTTATTGTAAGCGTAAATAATTGTAAGAGTTCATTGTTTGTAACGTCGTGTCGATAAATTGCTCATTGAACATTCGTCAAGGCCCATTAGCTCAGTTGGTTAGAGCGTCGTGCTAATAACGCGAAGGTCGCGGGTTCGATCCCCTCATGGGCCACATATTTTATTGTAAGCGTAAATAATTGTAAGAGTTCATTGTTTGTAACTTCGTGTCGATCAATTGCTCATATGGAACAGTCGTCAAGGCCCATTAGCTCAGTTGGTTAGAGCGTCGTGCTAATAACGCGAAGGTCGCGGGTTCGATCCCTTCATGGGCCACATATTTTATTGTAAGCGTAAATAATTGTAAGAGTTCATTGTTTGTAACTTCGTGTCGATCAATTGCTCATATGGAACAGTCGTCAAGGCCCATTAGCTCAGTTGGTTAGAGCGTCGTGCTAATAACGCGAAGGTCGCGGGTTCGATCCCCTCATGGGCCACAAATTTTATTGTAAGCGTAATTAATTGTAAGAGTTCAATGTTGTAACGTCGTGTCGATAAATTGCTCTTGTATAGCATTAGTCAAGGCCCATTAGCTCAGTTGGTTAGAGCGTCGTACTAATAACGCGAAGGTCGCGGGTTCGATCCCCTCATGGGCCACATATTTTATTGTAAGCGAAAATAATTGTAAGAGTTCATTGTTTGTAACATCGTGTCAATAAATTGCTCATTTGAAGCAATCGTCAAGGCCCATTAGCTCAGTTGGTTAGAGCGTCGTGCTAATAACGCGAAGGTCGCGGGTTCGATCCCCTCATGGGCCACATATTTTATTGTAAGCGTAAATAATTGTAAGAGTTCATTGTTTGTAACTTCGTGTCGATCAATTGCTCATATGGAACAGTCGTCAAGGCCCATTAGCTCAGTTGGTTAGAGCGTCGTGCTAATAACGCGAAGGTCGCGGGTTCGATCCTCTCATGGGCCACAAATTTTATTGTAAGCGTAATTAATTGTAAGAGTTCAATGTTTGTAACGTCGTGTCGATAAATTGCTTTTGTATAGCATTAGTCAAGGCCCTTTAGCTCAGTTGGTTAGAGCGTCGTGCTAATAACGCGAAGGTCGCGGGTTCGATCCCCTCATGGGCCACACATTTTATTGTAAGCGTTCATTGTTTGTAACGTGGTGACGATCAGTTGATTTTCTGAAGGATTTGTCAAGACCCACTAGTCAAAAATTTGTCGAAGATTGAAAAATTGAGTAGTTGTTTTGACATTTGGTAACATTAAAGTTAGACGATTTACTTGGTATAACGATAGAGTACTTGGAATCAATGAATATTCTAAACCGGAAACTGGTTCAATTATAAAAATTGTTGATTTTTGAAAATTTGATTTTGAGTTGACGGATATTTTCAAATATATGCGTAATAAATCCACTCTAAATATTTAATAAATTAATTTATTTTTTATTGATTAAGTCGATTATTTAAACATATCGAGGCAAAATACCAATACCAACTAGGTTCTTTATTATTTGTTGTGTGCCTTACAATATTTTTTCATTATTATTATACATCACTTCCACAGATCTTTTGCATAAGTAATAAAATTCTAACATAAATAACTTTCAAAAGATCTTTGGCATTCTATTCCTCAGGTTCCGGCAGAAGACTTCGCTAGTGTCACCGTTTATTTTTCGGATATCGTGGGATTTACATCTATTTGCGCCTCTAGCACTGCGATGGAAGTTGTCTGCATGCTCAACACACTTTACAAGCTTTTCGATGACCGCTTAAGCAAATACGACGTTTACAAAGTTGAAACAATTGGAGATGCTTATATGGTAGTTTCAGGATTACCTCAGAGGAATGGTAAAAAAAATTCAATATTATTTAAGACATTTTTAACATTTCGAGAGAAAAACCTATGAGCGGTTACGTATTGGGTATGGACTAGCTAAACTAGTCCCGACATCAAGCAGTGTGATGTCAAATTCCTACTTGGGGTTGTAGATCTAAAATATAATTTCAAGTGAAAATCGCCATTCATGGGCACAGCTGCATATATAAATATCGCCAAAACAAAAAATACTGCTAAGTGTAATCGCGTATGTCAGAAATAACCATGAAATAACATAGGATAATTATTGGGTTCTGCCTTCCAAACAAGTCATATAATAAATAATAAGATGCCAAAACCATTGCTGAAAAAATAATTTATGTTTTAACCATAAACCTTACACTACATGGATTGCTAGTCCTCATATGCTTTCTATTTTATAAAATGTATGAAAATAGAAGGGGACTGTGACGTCAGTTAGTGAACGAGGGTTGCCGACAATCGTGAAACGATCCCGATTAATCAAATATCATATGTAATGTGATTTATTTTAATAATATAATGACAATTATGTGGACTGATAAATTTGTAAGATTTGATAATAATACTATTTAATAATATTATCAACGCGATTCAAATATTATCTGTGATAGTTTTATTTCAATAATATAATGGCAATTGTGTGGACTAATAATTTTATAAGAAATGATATTAATTAATTAATTAAACTATTTTTCCTATGGCAAAATCAGCTTATATATTATAAGGTCTGTGAAAAATGATATTTAATTATTCGGGAGTATTCTTTTGCTTCACAACAATTTAAGAATTTCAAGCACATGATTTAATTTTAGGTTAGGTACAAGACACATGACATAGGACTTTTAATCTATCAGAAGTGTTCCACGATTATCGGCAACGCTCGTTCAGCAAGTGACGTCACAGTTTCTTCTATCTTTATACACTTATTTTGCACTCGACTAGCAGTCCATGTAGTGTAAGGTTTATGATTCCAACTTATTCTAAATTGTTTGACTCTATAGTTGGAAAAAGTATATGTGTGTATATGTGGATGTATGAGTGTGTGTAATGGACATACACCGTGTTTATTCCATACAGTGTTTCTGAAAACTTTAAATGTTGCTAAATTGTTAACGTAATAAGTTTTGCACATTTAGCTCCGAATTTTCGAAACCTATCTTTGCCAAAAACTAATTACCACTCCTCTCCATCATTACGAATTTAATGAAATCGGTTGATCTATGCCCTCAAAATCGTGGACGAAAAATTATATCCATACATACATACATACATACACAAACATCCATTTTTCTAAGGAATGCTCTACGGGAAGTTAATAATGCAAAAATGCATGAAATTCAAAGAAGTAAACGGTAGAGATGCCTAGTACATTTTCTTGAATTACTGTACATAGGTATTTACAATTTCAAAATTCATTAGTATTTTGATGAATTGAATTTTGATCATGAAAATATTATTTACTGTGATGAAGTGATATAAACATTAAAAATGTAAAAATAATTGTTATAAATCTGGTTGCTTATAGGAAATCGACATTCAGCCGAAATTGCTTCCATGTCTCTAGATTTAATTCAAGCAGTTTCTACACATTTTAGGTATTTTACAAATTTTATAAAAATTTTCAATTCTATTGAACTATTATTTTATTTCACCACTACAGAATTCCACATCGTCCGACTGAGACGATCAAAATAAGAGCAGGAGCTGCAACGGGACCCTGCGTTGCTGGAGTTGTTGGAAATACAATGCCAAGGTAGGCCTTTCAAATTTAAAACTAGTGGGGTGCCTTAAAAAAAATTGCTGGAACTTCTCGTACCATAATTAAAGATCTTAGTACGAAACCCAAAAAAATTACACAAAATGTAAAAACATTATTAAAATCTTTATAAAATATCTAATAATTTGATGTACATATGTCCAATAAACATTTTTCACCGCCAAATGACATTTTTTTAACTTATTTTTATTGAGAGTTCATAACCGCTGGACCTGCCTTTCCAAAAAACAGTTCTTCATCTTGTCAATACAAGTAAAATGTTTTTTGAATTATTAAAGTTGGGCGCTCTGTTCTCTTAACAACTGAGTCACCGTTTTTGGCACTTTTTGCCCTGTATCGGCAAAAACAGTTAAAAAAAATTGGAACGGCTAGACCTGCCTTCGCCAAAGACTAATTAACACGTCTCCTTTTCAATACGAACCGAATGTATTTTGAATTATTCAAATCGGTTGATCGGTGTTCCCGAAATCGTCTACGAAAAATTGTATCCGCACACACACACTCATATACATCCATTTTTTCTAAGGTATGCCAAAATATTCAGAAATCTTTAAAACGTAAATAAATATACAAATTTTAATTTTCGCCACGATATATCAAAAGAAAATTTACATAAACCATCAATGGTAAATTTATATCAGATAATTTAGTTTAAATTGTACCAAAATAACTTAATGAATTGAAGAAAAAACAGATTTTTGACAAAATTTCTAGTGAAATCTCATATGCCTGACGCATTTTTGGAAAAAAAACTCAGGTTTTGTTTGGAGCTTGCGAAACATATCGAAACGTATCGTTTGCTCCAAACATCTATGATTGACGTGAATTAACGAAAATTTATAAAAAATATCAAAAATTCCTTTAACTTCACGTAGGGTAAGTTTTAGCAATCATTCAAAAATCGAAAATGAAAATGTTTGCATATCTTCACGTTTCTGAATCTTCTGAACATTTTGGAATATCTGAAAAAAATATGTTTGTGTGGTGTGTATGTCTAGTATGTATTTTTATCCATGTTTTCATCCAGGTGCACGGGTCAACCGATTTCAATGATTCCAATTGACATACTTCGATTCCTATTAATGGGGAGGCGCGCTGATTAGTTTCATTCCTATTATAGAACACTAATTCGGCAATAAATTTACTTCATAATGATTTTATTTATGTATTTTGTTACCAAACACATTTTATAACTTCAATATGTAACTTATTATAGACGAACGGTGTAGTCAAAGACTCCTAAAATTTAATGATTTTCTTAACTTTACTTGTTTTTGAGGCATCGGTGGTGGACCTTTTTACCCGCGGACCTTTGAGCCCTGCTCTATCACACACACACATAATATTATTAATGTTACATACTCATTGAGAACTATAATTCAATTGTGACCCCCTCTGGAGCCAATGCTGGATCCGCCACTGTTCGATGATAGGGGGAAAAAAGTGCAATAAATTGCAAATCAGTTTTTTTGAGAACGGGGTCTATAAAACACGAGTAATGATAGTTAAGTATTTATAATAATCTATTTGAAAACATTTTAAATTTTTCGAATATTTTATTACGGTGCGAGAAGTTTCAGCAATTTGGCTTAAGTCACGATGCCATACAACACTAGTATTTTATTTCATTTATAACATAATTATTATTTCAGATACTGTTTGTTTGGCGACACTGTCAACACGGCATCAAGAATGGAGAGTACTGGAGAAGGTAACTGCCTATTCCAAAAAATGTATTTTAATCAATCTTTATCGTAATTATAACATAATGACGATAGATTTATGATTTCAATAATTTTAATTACCATTATATTATAAACAAATACAAATTAATTTTATGGTCTAACATTTTATCATTGTCATTTCAAGCAATGAAGATACAGATATCAGAAACTACAAAAGTAGCTTTGGATAAAATTGGAGGATATTGCGTTGAACATAGAGGATCGTTCGAGGTTAAGGTAAATATTTTTAAAAAAATTGTATATGCATTTTTATATTATATATATATATATATATATATATATATATATATATATGAAATATATACAGATTGCCCATTGTACATAAATGCATGGATATTAGTACATACTTATTTTTGTCGTATCGGAACTAGTTATAAGAATCATTCTAATATTGTCTAGGATAAGAAAGCACTTTCAGTTTTTTTCAGAATAACACGTCATTCAATAAGTCCATAGAATTATTAACTTCCCGTAGGGTAAGTTATAGTAATCGTAAAAAAATCGAAAATGGAATTTTTTATATATCATTACGTTTCAGAGGTTTCTGAACATTTTAGCATACCTTAGAAAAAATGGATGTATGTGTGTGTGTGTGTGTGCGGATACAAATTTTCGTCGACGATCAATCGATTTGAATAATTCAAAAAATATTTCATTCGTATTGATAGAGCTGATTAGCTTTTGGCGAAGACAGATCTAGCTGTTCCGAAGATACGGGGCAAAAAGTTCCAAAAACGGTAACTCAGTTTTTAAGAGAATGGAGCGTCCGATTTTAATAAGACAAAAAAGATTTTACTTGTATTGAGAAGATGAAGAACTAATTAAATTTTTGGGACGACAGGTCCAGCGGTTATGGACTCTCAATAAATATAAGTTAAAAAATGTTATTTTGAGGTCAAAAATGTGTATTGGACATATGTACATCAAATTATCAGATATTTTATAGAGATTTTCATAATACATATTTTGTATAATTTTTTTCGGATACCGTACCAAGATTCGAAGATCAAGTATCAAGATTTTTAATTGCGGTACGGGAAGTTCCAGCAATTTGCCTTAAGGCATGATGCCATGCATCCCACTAGTTTATATTTATATATTGTAATTTTGAATAATTCGTAGTTGAAATAATGCGGATTTCCATAATTTGTCATATATGTTTGTTTAGATTAAGGAAATCCTAGTGTCCGCATTTCAACTACGAATTATTCAAAATTACAATATCCAAATATAAATCATCTTACGGAGTGATATTGAGTGATGTGTTATATGAGAAAATGTAAATAATATTTTTTCGATGATAATGAACAATACAGTAAGTAAAATTATATAACGGATTATTTAAAGTCAATAAAATGCTATAAAAGTGTAAAAGCAATGTAATTTAGAAACAAAAATAACTTACCGGCCATTTTAATTAAAACTACCAAATTGTTGTTCCACTTTTCTATGATCGAAATAGTTTTATATTTAAATTTAATGTAAGGGAAAATACGCACACAACCGTTTTCAATTAAACAAATTTACTTTACTTTAATACTCCAGTAATCTTAATCATGCTTATTTATCTATAAATCTTACAATAATTTTGACTTACACTTTACTATTGTTGACAATTCAACACAACGATCTTTGTCAACGCAAATTCACAATCGCCAACTTAATATGTCTTTTATCCAATGCTGCCAACCATAGATAAAACAAATTATCCAATGCTGACAACCGTAGATAAAATAATTATTAATGTTAATAAATCTAACTAATATTATTGAATCATTTCAAATATATTATATTCTAATATTGTTTAAGTTCGATTCATTATAATACTTATTCTTTACAATATTTATTAACTTCCCGTAGGGTATTAAATTATGTTATCACTATACCTATATATATAATAGTGATCGCAAAAAAAATCAATAATGAAACTTTTATATATCTTAACGTTTCATAGGTTTCTGAACACTTTGGCATACCTTAGAAAAAATTGAATCTGCGAATAAAATTGTCGACTATTTCAAAAACACAGATCAACCGATTTTAATAGTTCAAAAAATATTAAATGATAAGGAGATGTGCCGATTAGTTTTTAGCTAAGGCAGATCCAGCCGTTTCGAAGATACGGGGCAAAAAGTGTCAAAAAGTTGGTTTGGAGATCGAGTAAAAGAAGTAAAAACTATCATTAGACATATTCACATGAAACTATCAGATATTTTATAAAAATTTTAATAATAAGTATAAATTTTGGTGCTTTAAAAACAGTAATTGATTATGTTTACTTATTCCTGGAAGCGAACTATATCTAAAGAGCAGACGGACATTAAAATTAGCAAACAAATCTTTGAAAAATAAAGCTAATAAAAAATAATTTATGTATCTAATTATTAATCCACAAATTAATATTAAATTCATGTTTGAGAATTAATAATGCTTATTTATTTCTAGGGTAAAGGAATGATGAACACCTATTGGCTTCTGTCTAAAGAAGGTAAGAGCAACGAGAACGTGGCAACTTATTCGCAGAATTTTCTCACCACGGTAACTCCAGATTTTATTCATCTAATTGCCGATTAGATACATTTCTAACATACATTTGTTGTACTTAAATTAATGGTTAAATGTGGTTATTGTTTAATTTATTCAATGATTAGGTTATCATAACTATATAATGTGTATAGCAATAGGTGTTGTTGCGCAAGTATTAAAAAAATTAATAGTAGAATTTGAAATTATTTAAGCATTATTCCAGACATTTTATAAACCAGATGTTTGAACTAAAAATTAAATATTGGTTATACATATTATTTTCTTACAATGACTTTACAACAATTTACAACTTAATATTTTAGATACACAATCACATTTTTTAGACTACGAAACACAAAATATCTTGTTTATTTCAGTTACTATGCTAAATATTTTAAATAAATATAAGAATTCGTTTTTATGTTCAAATTATTTTACCATTTTCAAAAACGAAAAGTCCAATAATCATAATATATGAAGAAGAACAATGAATGTAATTTGGCAATCAATTTTTCTTGCTAATAACACCTTTGCGTTTTGGTAATTTATTTTGATTAAATGACTTTGCGATTTAATAAATGATATAAAAAACAGCAGAATTGTTTGAAATATAAATATTTTAATTAATATTATGCAATTCAAATATTAGTTTAATTTTGATTCTTTATGTTTTATTTCTAAATTATTTCCTGAGTAGAATAGATTAATATTATTTTAGTAGTTTTAATCTTAGTTTATTAATGAATAAATGGTGGCATCTGCTTTAGACAATAATAAACTTTTAGTTGTCAGCCAAAAACAATAAATATTTTTTTATAAAATTTAAAACTAAACGTTTTATTGATTTAAATATTATCTGTTAGGAAATTGAGATAAATTATTATAACAAACAAAATTATTTTTACTAATTTACCCATAGATAATTAGAAAATCATCTTTTTTGTCTTAATTTGATCCTTTTTCAGTTAAAATATCAGTCAATCAATCAATTTGAATCAAAATCAAATGAGAAAGTAAAGTATTACTGTCCTACATATTAGTATATTTAAAATATTGTTTATTATATCAAAATTTATCATAATGTTATTAGTATTATTGTCATTAGTTCCTCATTGCTATAATGAAATTAAATTATTGATAGAATAGTTTGATAAGCAATACAATTTACTATAAGAATTAACTATTAAGAATTTAAGTTTTGTATAGAATATTACAAAGTTTTTTGTCAAATCATATATGTTAATCTATTGAATGTTAAATGTATTGTTCAGGTAATTATTGTAATTTTATTTCATAGGAAATAAAGTTGATCCTATTCTTAAGAAAAAGAAGATTTGGCATATCATTGTTAAATGTTTTGGTGTAAATATTATAATTATTTTGTGGAATGTCAAGCTCATCATATTGTGAATGCCAAATTATAATAAACTAATGAAAATTAATGGTTTGAATATTATTTCATTTTCTTTTTTTGTGAACTATCCGATGTTTTATTATACTAACAATTTTTCAAATGAGCGTTATTTTTAAATATACTGCTTTCTAATTGCTTAATTAATAAAAATTGGGATAAAAATTATAGCATTATACAAATATGCATAATTTTACAATCGTTTACAAGACTATTTTCCTTTTCAGAAAACTAAAGCTTTAAGAATGCTGTCTAAATTTAAACAGATCTAACATCTTACAAGTTTTCATAGAAGTTAATGTACATTATTAATATAAATGCAATTTTATTATTATTATTGTTATTTTATTATTTTTAATATTGTTCTTCTGTTATATTTATTATTATTTGTCATTTATTGCTTTTGTTGTATTTTTATTTTTTTAATATTCTTTATGTTATTCATAAATTTTATTCATTAATTTTATTATTATTTGCTTTTTATTTTAGGGGGCGTCCATTAATCACTTGAGGTTTTTAGAGGGAGGGGGGTTTGACAAAAAATCACAAAATATCACGTGGGTGAGGAAGGGGTATAGTAAGATATCACGTGTATTTGTTTTTTAACTAATTTTTTTTTTTAAGTTTAAACATTTAAAAAAAATAAAAAAAATTACAGTTTTTTCACGTAACTAAAAATACACGTGATGTTTGGTAGGGGAAGGGGGGGTTAATTTTGAATATCACCAAATATCACCAAAGGGAGGGGGATGTCACGTGATTAATGGACGCCCCCCTATATTAAATTATCATCATTCTAATGAAAATACTGTCCTATATTTTGTATTATATTTTATTTACAATCGTTATCTAACGTTACTAGATGTTATTTGGCAGTTATAACTAATATTGAAATTTAAAAAAAAGAAAAAAATATATACATGCAAATGTAATAATTATTTTTTGTCGACGTGGTATTAATAATATCCATTTATTATTTATTTGTATTAAATAATAATCAAATTCTGGTTTCTACATTTTTTCTTAATAATAATGAATCGAAAATGTATTAATTAATGATAATTAATTAAGTAGATGTTAAGTAGATACGAATACAGAAACTTTCTAATTGCCCCATACTCTTTTTATCAATTGGTTGCCCACCTCTGTGCTAATTTTGAACGCAAATTTTATTTTTTCTTATGTTGGCTGCTCTGGTCATTCACACGAATTTCACTCATTATCCTCCCTTATGTCAAAATCACACCAAAATACACATTCAACATGTCGGCTTCATCTGTAAATAACATTTTACAAATATCACTTTGTATTTTACTGTTTTTGCGACCAATTTTTGCAAATGAACATTGTATACAAGATCGAAATTGCCGATGCGTTTACGAAAGCGGACGAGGATTAGATTTAAACAAAAAATTTGCCAGTGATGATTATATTTTATCAGCGAGTTTGAATAACCTAACATATTATTTTCACGCTTGCAAAGATGTGCATACTTTACCTATTTCTCCAAATGATTTGAATAAAACTGCAAATGGATGCTACAATGAAAAAGATGGATACTCGGTAATTATATATTTATTTGATCATAAATTTTAACTTGTCAAGATCTATTTGTAATCTAAGTCCAAAAGATGTATTGTCATCATGTTTATTTTAGAATTAATAATGTTTACGTAGTCATTTCTTTGCAATGCGTTTTTATATTCGTTCTCATTCATACAAGTCATTTACAATACTATACTCAAACAAAATATTTATATCTTACTTTGTATAAAAAAATATAAATTTGAGTATATTTTTTATATTTATTATATATACATAATATTATGAATTAATAAACATTATTATTATTCATTAATTATTATCAACCATTATTATTATCTCTTTTGTTCCCTTATGAAAATGTTTGGAACAATACAAATTGTTATCGAAGTATTTCTTATTATAATATGGTTTCCATGTAGGATTTAACATGAGTTAAACCTGAGTATAACCTGATTAAGTAATAAAATAAGTTACCTATGCTATAACATTTTTTGCAATTGCGCTACTTCAAGTTAACCGTTAGGATATTGATTTCTGAGTTTATACACTTAAGACACATTAATAATCATGTTTTTATGCGTTGTTTCTATGATAAATTTATATCAATACAACTCATTTAGTCATTTTTTTATCAAACATTTAGTATATATAATACATGACTTTATACTATCAATGTTTACACAAAATACATTAAAATATCTTTGTATTTTTCATTTTAAAATGTGTATGTTTAACAAAACAAACCAATCTTATGAAAAACTTGACACGTCAAGTGAAGCATAATTTACATAATTTATTGTCATCATGTTTATTTTGGAATTAATAATGTTTACGTGGTCATTTTTGTAATGGGTTTTTATATTCATTTTTATTCATAAAAGTCATTTCCAAGAAATTCTAACGAAATTATTTTAAATTATTATGTATTAATATTTTCTGAAATTTGGGTGCTTTTACATTTTTATTTTATATCTACAGTAATATGATAATAATGATAAATATTATTATAATTATCAAGCTGAGTATAAGATTTTTATTAATCCCTAATGTTTTTCTCTGTTTTTTGTTATGAAATATTTACATTACATATATAAATATTAATCAAATAATAAAAAAAGTTGTGCATGCTAATTGTTTTTTTGCAATTGTGTTTCTTCAATGTCTAGAAACAATTGGGATATTTATATCTTCTTATATGCTTGTACATCAATATTTATGCTTTTATGTTTTTATATTATTCCAACTTTTTTTAAATTTTTTATCCCAGATTTAGTATGTAGAGTACACAATTTTTGAAAATCATATTAAAATATCTCTGCATTTTTAATTTTGCGATGTGTGTGTTTAATATAAATATAAATTTTAATAAAATTATTGATATCAGTATAAATATTGAAATAAATATAAATGTCAACATCAATATAAATATAAATATAAATAACAATATAAATATCAATAACAATATCAATATCAATATGAATATCAACATGAATTTAAAAAACATTTGTTTTTATCCAAGGTTTTGTATATATAATACATTATATGCACAAATCATATTAAACTATCGTTATATTTTTCATTTTAAGATGTGCGTGTTTAATAAAACAAACCAATCTTATGAAAAACTTGGCACATCAAGGGAAGCACAATTTACACCTTCAGATGTTAACGAAATAAATTACATGCGCTACAAACATGGCAACAGGTAAGTTATTTTCTTTTATATATATATAAATATATACTCTTATTATATATTTTGATATTTTCTTTTAAGTAAGACATCCTAAACATAAATGTTTGATAAACATCTTTGTGATATCATTATTGTAATTTATAATTAATTATATTAGTATATTTATACTATTATTGAATATATTTGTTTCAAATTATGTTTAAAAGATATGACTACACAAAAAAAATCCATAATTATCCACCATGATAATTAGTAGTGATTTCAATTTAAATATGATAAACAATCTTAATTTTTTTTCTCAGTGCTGCTGTAGCTATTTTACTGATATGTGTTCCTGATATTGCTGAAACACATTTGTTAGCAATTTCTAATAGTAATAATGTTCATGTAAGTATATAATTTTTAAGTAATATTTAGTGATTTATAAATTCAATAATAAAAACTTATTTTTACAGAATCTTATTTTGTACACTCCAGCAGCCTGCATTCATGAAATTATTGTACCAGGTTTAGGAGGATTTGCTGTTTTTATAATTCTTTTAATATCAGGAATACTTGCATATTTGTTTGTGGGAATTCTGGTGAACAGATTAGCATTGGGTGCTCGAGGCATTGAGATGATACCTAATTTATCATTCTGGAGATCTGTACCCAGCAGATGTGGAGTTAGTATATAGCATTTATTTAGATAATTTATAATTTGAAATATTAATGACTTCAAGACAAAATTCTGCCTAGTTTCAACTTCTAATGTCTAATAATAAAACCATTAGTTTATTTTTATAATACTTATTTGGCTGTGGTGATTTAAAATATGAAGTTGCATTGTATGGTTTTTCTAGAATGTTAAAATATCTATAGAATTTTTTTATTTTAATAATGCACACATTGGATAATGGTATTTCCATGTTGCAAAATCTTTTTTTGATATATTTCTAAGTATAAATAATCAAGATATGTGATAAATAAAGTAGATCAACAATTTAAATAATTTTTACACGGAATTCATTATTACCATCAATTTTTTGCAAAGCACTTTATAAAAGTGCAATTTGAATTGCAAACACAGGTCTAAAAGAAGTTATATTTTATAAGATAAATATTAATAAACTAGATACTGTCACTACAAGGCTATTATTTAATAAAAAAAAATCCGAAAATGATAATTGTATTTAAGATGTTATATTTATCAACAACACCTGAACCATTGTAATGAATTTAGCATCATCAAATTGATAAACGTACTCATAAAACTGATTTTTTTCCAGGCATGCATTGATTTTTGCAGACATGGTTACCAAAGACGATCAGATACTCAAAATCTCAATCCAGATACATATGATGCCATTTAAATAAGTATATGATATGTGATATTGTTGAAGCTAATGATTTTATACAAATTTTTGCATATGTATATTTATATGTGCACACACCTACATACATATGAATATTTGGGTGGGTGTGCCTGTGTATATGTACATATTTTATTTCTGTTTGTATTGTAATGTATATATTTCTAGTTAATCCTGAACGTTACTTACATGAAGAGAGTATTAGAAATAAGTTGAAGATTTTAATTTGGTGTAAATTTAAATGTTCGTAATTTTATGTGGAAAATGATATATTTTCTTTATTTTGTTTAACATGTGACTGCTTAATAATAAAGAACTTTTTCAAGAATCTACTAACGATAATATATAATACTAGTCAAAACTTTATTCTTAATAAGAAAATCAAACTTCATGTCCAAGGAAATTTATTCGATTTATCTCTAAGTGATTTATCTCATGTGTTCTTTTTAGGATATTAAAATTCATATTATATAGTTTTCATAAAGAAATGAATATTAATTTTATTAAATTGAGCTATATTCTTAAAAAGTGCTGTAATGGTTTGTTATTCGAATTCATTATTTTTTGAAATTACTTATTATTGCACAATGATTTTTTATATCCTGGTTATAATAAGGGACATGATTAGTTTGAAAATTTACTGTTATATATTTTTGTAAAATTGATCTAATAAATTGAGAATAAATGACATTACACATTTTTATATTATATTTAAAAGAGAGATGTCAGAATATTATACAGTTTTAACTTTTTTAGTTCTAGTTAATTTCAAATATTTAGAAAAATGGATTATTAGATATATTATCAGATAATGTTTGAACTCCCTGAATGCCTTTGCGTAGTCCTTTTAGAGCAATATTGATTGGATTCAAAGGCCCCCCTGTCAATCCTGAAATGCATATGTTTTTATTGAAAATTATTTTTCAATCTATAATATATATATATATATATATATATATATGTGTGTGTATATATGTATATATATATAAACAATTCATTTAAACTTTTTGCCACTGTAAAATATAAATTTAATTAATATATATTAATTTTTGAATCATTTTCAACTATACCGATTTACTATGGGGCAATATAATGTGAGGAACTATTGCAGATTTAATATGGATAAATTTACTAAGCATGTTAGTTAATTTGGACAAATAATTTAAATATTACACATTATTGAAAACCAAACATGCCCCTAATACATGCATGGAGTATTTTCTGAAAGCGTATTAATAATAATTTTAATACATTTATATAATTGAACCACTTTTTGTAGGTCAATGTTATTGTAATATTAAAACCAGGAAAAAAAATTTTAGGTATGCTAAAATGTTCAGAAACCTTCAAAACGTCGAGAAATGTAAAAATAATTTTCAATTTCGATTTTTGGACGATTACAATAACTTACCCTACGGGAAGTTAATATGTGCAATAATCAGTTTCCTTCCGTATTGAAAGATAAATTATAATCAGAAAATAATAGAACGGTTTGTTACGAAGAAACGGCAAGGCCGATCTTCATGAAAAATCAAACAGAACTATTTCATACTAATATCGTTTGAACAGTTTTTAAATTTTCAAATAGATTCAGAATTTTAGGCTAAAACGTGGACGAAAAATGTTAGACTTTTTGTTAATTATCAAGAAACCGCTTGACCAATAGTCACTCAAAACTAACAAAAAAATGTTAGTGAGGTACATTATATGGCTTTTGAATTGTTGAAATCGATGTATCCATTTTTTAAGATAACGCCGATAAAAAGTCAAGTTCAGGTTAATTTAGGTCGGCTCACATACACTTATGCAGACATCGTTTTTCCCAATTCTAGTGTCTCACATGAGAGGAAAACAAAATTTGCAAGTTGGATTTTCTGGCATAAACATAAACTTCTCCTTTGGAAAGTTAAAAATACATACCAGCCATATTCAGAAAATATTCCAATGTGTCGAGAGATACATCAAGCGGTGGAAAGATATCAAACGAGTCAGTTAATTGTATTATTACAACTGGCCATTTAGTAAGCAAATTCCTCAATTCATCATCGGAAATTATTCGGTTCGGCACACTCTCCATAAAAGTTGTCCATGGTACGATCAGCCAAGTATAGCCTTCATCATCGCGGGACGAATCAACAGATTTCTGATCAGGACTCGGGTCAGGACTCTGATCAGGACTCGGATCAGGACTTATATCTCTGTAAGTTCAAAATAAATTTATTTTAAAGTCATGCATTTTAAAATGTTTTTCTTTTAAGTGTTTGTTGTGTTTTTTACGTATTTTTATGTAAATTATACATTTAACTAGTGGAGCGCATGGCATTGTGCCTTAAGGAAAATTGCTGGTACTTCCCGTACCAAAAATTAGATTTTTGAGAAACTATAAATTTTTGAAATAAATTATTTTTTTCGAAAAAAGACTTTTTGAAAAAAATGTTTTCTTTATTTTGAAATATTTTGGAAGTTCTAAACTTTTTTTATAGCAATCGTACTGCTTAACTGCATAGAGACGAAATATCGAAGCGCGTAACGCAGCGTCGCCGTCTAACGGATAAACATTGGTACGGAACCCATAGCAATGTAAACAAAATGTATACTTATTGTTAAAATCTCTATAAAATATCTGATAATTTGATGTGCATATGTCTAATAATCATTTTTGACCGCCAAATGACATTTTTTTTTACGCTAGACCTGCCTTCATGAAAATTTAATCAGTTGTTCATCTTGTCAATACAAGTAAAATATTTTGAATTATTAAAATCGGACACCCCGTTCTCTTAAAAACTGAGTTACCGTCTGTGGCACTTTTTGCCCCGTATCTTCGAAACGGCTAGACCTGTCTATGCCAAAAACTAATCAGCACGTTTCCTTATAAACAGCAATCGAATGTTTTTTGAATAATTGAAATCGGTTGAACCGTGTTCTCGAAATCGTCGACGAAAATTTGTATCCGCACACACACAAACACACACATCATACACATCGCACACACACACACACATACATCCATTTTTTCTAAGGTATGCCAAAAAGTTCAGAAACCTCAGAAACGTAAATATATATAAAAAATTTGGATTTTTTTGCGATTACTATAATTTGCCCTACGGGAAGTTAATTAACGGTAACATTTTTTAAAAAGTGAAACTTTGATTAAACTTTAATTAAAAAGAGACTTATTTTCCCGCTGATTCCAAAAATGGCTTTTAAATTGGTGATATTCAAATTTTGACTCATCACATCAAGAAAAAGACTGTTGACACAAATTTTATTATGTTCTGTAGAACCATGATGTCAGTCAACATAAAATATTTCATCGGAAAAAAAATTCAACCGATAAATACAAAGAAACGGCTCGGCCGATATTTGTTCAAAACTAACAATATTTTTCAAATAGTTTCTGAATTTTTAAAATCGGGTCAGTATTTTTGGCTAAAACGTGGGCGAAATTTTTTCACTTTTCTCTTAATTACTAAGAAACTGTTTGGATCGAAATACATCAAATGTTTTTTAAATTTTTTAAATCGGTCCAGCCGTTAAACATAAAATTGGCGAATCGAATTTTCTGATTAATAAAGTATTACTGAGTCTGAATGTTTAAAATCGGGTTAGAAGTTTTGGCTAAAGCGTGGACAAAAATTTTTCACTTTTCCCTTAATTACTAAGAAACTATTTGGATCAAAATACATCTAACGTTTTTTAAATTTTTGAAATTGGTCCAGCCGTTAAACATAAAATTAGCGAATCGGATTTTCTGATTAATAAAGTATTACTGGAGCATAGCTCTTTACGGATCAGAGATATGGACTCTAAGATAGGCCAGCAAAAACTATTTGGAGTGTTTTGTAATGGAGAAGATAAAGTGGGCAGATAAAATAATTATTTTATCTGCCCACTCGTAAGTATGTTAATTAACATACTTACACAATAGACAAAATGACATAGTTCTATTTTCCATGAATTACAGGGACAAGAAAAAAATTCAAACCTGTCAAAGATAATTGGCTTTTAACTTCTATTCCAGGTTTGCAAAAAATAATTGCTAATAACAAACCAAAATATCATCTGGTAAAAAAAATGCATTTGTTGCAAGACCCTATTTTTCCGTTCTGAACGAAGATGGTTACCAATTGGTTACTTACAATGTATGTCTTCTACTCTTTGGGGTCATGCTTCATGTGCTAATGTACCAAAGAAGACAAAACTATTTATTTGTGAACTGTTTTTTAATAAAAAACACTATTCTTTACTCTATCTGTCATCTTGCTCATGCTTTATAGACAAAATGGTTTTTGTAATAGGTTTCATTTTTCCTTAAATATGTTCTTATAGTTCGAACTTAATTCAAATACTATATTACGGGTAGACAATGAACCAAAGATGAGTAGAAACGGTTGAAATTGGTCATACTATCATAAAATTAATAAATATCATTAAAAAACAAAACACCATGTTATTTTATCTGTACTTTCCCTACATTTTATCCATATTTTTTTTACTTTATTAAACATATTATATTATCAATGACGTTATTATAATTAAAGTTTATTTCATATATTTTTTAATATCTAAAGATTCAAAAAGCAGAAATTCCGAGATAACTTACGATTCTTCTTCGGCGCTTCTTCGAAAACGCGGTCCAGAGAAGCCCTTCTGCTGCACCAAAATTGGTTGTAAAGCTTTTATTGCGGTTGCTGCTCCTTCCAGGATTGTATCTGCATGAAAAATGATTGAGTAATAAGTGATAAATTTTAAATAGCAATTAACTTCTCTCGATATATTCATAAATATTTTTTACTAGATGTATGTACTTATATATTTAATTTCTTTTGGGCTTTCAATGCAAATGAATGATGATGATGCTGCTGAAAAATAAGGAAAAAAATGAAAATTAAGAGCACCGATAAAGCAGTTACATGCAAAAATGTGAATTCATATGTTAGAGAAAGCAGCATTTGTAATGAAGTGGTAGAACTTTGACCTTGCATCCACAAAAATTCGAGTTCAAATCCCGCGCTATGTACAACTTTAATAATATGATAAAAAGTCGTAATTAAAATCTGTTTTCTTTTGTCCCAGTTAATATAATATATTAAATTGCGATGTGATATATTGCAGCATTGACTGCAATATATTGCATCATACTTCACAAATATTCAAAGTAAAAATTTCATCTCAAAGAGAAAGGTCAGCCAGTGGGTTGCTTTCTAGACAGCAGAAAATAGTTCTGATTATTTAATTATCTGTATTTTTAAAACTTAAAACTAGTAAAACGATAAATTTTTATAATAATTTGTTACTTATTCATAGTACTTACCGTTACGTATTTTTTAGCTTCAATGTTATATTTTTGTAATAAACATTGACATTTATACTGTAAATTTATATTGTAATAAATAACAAATTTGACAATTCAATAAGTTAGAAAATGATTAAACTATATGTATACTTATATACTAAAGCTGTTTAATCATTTTCTAACTTATTGAATTGTCAAATTTGTTATTTATTGCTATAATTGGAATTAGATAACTTACCTGTACTTAACTCGAAAACTGGCTGAATCTCAGGTTCAGCTAAAGCAGCTGCATCAGTATTTATCAAAATACAAGAGATTGTTATTAAATATAATGTACATTGTGGTAGCAACATCTTGTGCAAATTAATGGAAGGACTTAAAACGAGTGATTGGCTAAATGCGATATTCAAAGTGGTTTAATAAATTTATCTGGTGATTTTGTTAGAATAATGTTATCAATCAATTCCGATATTACGCAAAACACTGGTTCTAAAATTATTTTTCAGATTACAGTTTTCCTAATATGTATTTGTATGATTAAAACATTTTAGTAAGTTTTTACTATTATTAAAAAGCTTGATATTGCATTTTTTTGTATGTTCGTGTAGTTTCTTTTACCATGAAATTACGAAAAACTAGTGGGGCGCATGGCATCGTGCCTTAAGGCAAATTGCTGGAACTTCCCGTACCAAAAATTATTTTTTTTTTAAAGATTAACATTTTTGAAAAAAAAATACTCTGAAAAATTAGATTTTTGAGAAACTATAAATTTTTGACAAAAATTTACTTTTTTTGAAGAAAAGTGTATTTTGAAATATTTTGGAAATTCTGAACTTTTGTTCAAAGCAATTGTACTGCATTAACTGCATAGAGACGAAATATCGAAGCGGGTAAGCGCCGCGTCGCCGTCTAACGGTTAAATATTGGTACGGAATCCATAGGAATAGAAACAAAATTTATACTTATTGTTAAAATCTCTATAAAATATCTGATAATTTGATGTGCATATGTCTAATGATCATTTTTGACCGCCAGATGGCATTTTTTGTACTTTTTTTACTAGATCTCCGAAACCGCTAGACCTGTCTTCATGAAAATTTGATCAGTTTTTCAACTTGTTAATACAAGTGAAATGTTTTTTGAATTATTCAAATCGGACACTCCGTTCTCTTAAAAACTGAGTTACCGTTTTTGGCACTTTTTGCCCCATATCTCCGGAACGGCTTAACCTTCGCCAAAAACTAATCAGCACGTCTCCTTATCAATACGAATCGAATGTTTTTGAATTATTCAAATCGCTTCATCCGCGTTCCCGAAATCGTCGACGAAAATTTGTATCCGAACACACATACACACACATATACATCCATTTTTTCTAAGGCATGCCAAAATATTCAGAAACCTCTGAAATGTAAAGATATACAAATATTTTCATTTTCGATTTTTTTGCGATTACTATAACTTACCCTATAAGAAGTTAATAATCGATAGATAAAATTACATCTTCTCTATCATTAAATATCAAAGGGACCTCCTAATTAAATGTTAAGATACTTATTGGATGCTTATTGGTTTCTAGAAAAAAATACTGTTTCTAATTTTTTAAATATATATATGAGCATATTCAAAAGATAAAATTAGGACTGACTTCTTCTTCAAACAAAATAACAATAATAATTTAAACAAGAAAGCTTATGCTTTTGGTGCAATATTAGGAACAAATTATTTTTATTTTTGGTTACTTACGTATTCTTAACGTATGGTTATTTTGGTTACTTACGTATTCTTAACAAAAATGAAGAGTGACGATTAGTATTTTTGTTAAACCTGTTTATTTTTTTCGATTCTTGGAAGAAAAATTTTATAGTTTACGCCAAAAAATCCGATCTGCTAATATTATGTTTTCTTTACGTTCCAAGTAGTTCTGAAAGCTTTGAGACCAAATTTGGTAAATGTATGCATAATGTGTGTATGTAAGCAGACTTTTTGATCTATTGTCGACGTTTTCTCAAAAAACTGCTGCACCGATTTCAAGAGATCAACAATTCCTCAAAATTTCATCCCAAAATTTGCACCAATTTCACAAATAAGTAAAAGTTATTTGATATAACTCTTTAGGGACTCATATTTAACAGTTATTTGTGGTAATCAGCCAAGTCGTTTCTGTGTAATAAGCAGAAACGTGCAAATCTATTCATCCACGTTTTAGCCAAAAACCCTAAATCAATTTTAAAAATGCAATAAAGGCTTCAAAGATATTGGGCATCGTGTTTATTAGTTTTTGGCCAAGATCGACTGACTTTCACTACATTGGTGAAATTTGAAGCCTATATCGGCTGGTCATAAAAATTGAACATTTTTTTATATTGAGCCCATATAGTTAAACCAACATTGGTCTATATTGACCATACCACGTAATTAATTAATCCTGGCCAGATGTATCTGGCGATTTGGAACCAATGTTGCCTACCAAATTGCTAAATATTGGCTTGGTGTAGCCTCATTAACATTGGTCATGTATTATTCTGGCTATTTAAGACCAATGCATTTTGTATATATACTGGCTAGTTTATTTTTATATTAAAAAAATCCATTTTTACTTAAAATACTTTTATTTCTTTTTTTTAATATTAAAAGCCCACAGATTTGTTCCAAGAGGACTTAAAAATACAATTATTTTACAATATGGATAACAATTAACATATGTACGAAGAAAAGTTTTTTCGTATAATAATATATTAAGGAAAAAATGTTAACGTTTTTAATGAATTAATGGGGTTCACTCTATAAGGGCTATAATTAAAAATTCCATTGTAAAAAATACTGGTCCACCATTCCTGAAATAGAATTTGATATCGATATTTATCCTGGTCAAAATTTTGTTTTCGGGACGGGTCTACACATAGTTTTTCTGACCCTTTTATTTTTAAAACCTCAAAATAGGTTTATTAATAATGGATATTCTTAACATTTATATATTTATATCAACAAATGTATACACAAATAAATGTTATAAAATATTTTTTCTTCTTTAAAAAGAACAAGAACCACATGTTTTCTTACAAAATTATCTTTCAATTCTACCTTAACACGGATTGTTAAATTCATATCGCACGCGTGTAGTTTTTGCTTGATTTATTACAAGTTAAATATGACTTTGTTTCTGATAATTTGATTCATAAAACAAATATTATCATAAAAAAAATTAAATTTATTACCAGAATGCACTCACTTTTAATTCAGTTAAAACTTTAATTTTTGTAACAAATATTAGACAGATCAAATTAATTAATATATATATTTTTAGAATACTTGCAATTTTAATGATATTAATTATTTTGGTATTAGAAATTTTGTGATGCAGAAGTTTAGACTATGTAAAAATGCAGTTACAAATATTTTCTGCTTTTACCAAAAATACTGCCAATATTTGAAACTATCAAAATGAGTTGTTCAAAAAAAATTCCAAACACATTTTATCGAAATTTTCAAAGTCCATTTATTAAATATATTAACATGGTAATACATGCATGTATCCAAATTTTGACGAATATACATATGTTTTTAGTACGCATATGCATATATGTTTGGCTTTTTTCGAAAATATTTCATTTTTTCTCATCTTAACTGAATGAAAAAAATTGATAGGGTAAAAAAGGGCTTGAGGTTCCGCTGGTAAAAAGGTCGACCACTGATAACTGAAAAACAAATGAAGTTAAAATTTTTGAACAACAATTTTTGAAAATAGAAGGAAGAAGATGTATAACCAGTCATCATCTTGATTTTTACGACTTATCATTTTTGTTATCTATATAAAAGTGTGGGCATTTTACTGTAAACAATAAAATGAAAAAAATGGTAATAGAAAATAGTAATAAGTAATAAGTAAATAGGAAAATACAACAGATAAATTAAACTAGTGGTGTATGGCATCGTGCCTTGAGGCAAATTGCTGGAACTTACCGCAGCGTAACGAAATGTTCGAAGAATATTAAATGTTATCAAATAGATTATTAAAAATAATGTTGCATTGCACTAATATTTATTTATAAGAGTTATATAAACTGAACTACAAAGTTAAAATTAGTTATTTAAAGTATGTAAATGGTCTTTAGAATTTTAGCCAGAATTAAAATTAAAATTTGAATTATTTTCGATATACAAAAAAAATTGAAACAATTTTTCTTCCAGAAGCAATTATTTTGTCAAAACAAGCAGAAAGTTTTTTGAATCATTCAAATCAGATACTTAGTTCTCTCAAAAACTGCCATTTTTGTACATTTAGCTCCGTATCTTCAAAACGGCTGGACCTGCTTTTGCCAAAAACTAATCACCACTTTTCCCCATCACTACAAAGTGAATGTTTTTTAGATCATTCAAATCGGATGCTCCGTTCTCTCAAAAACTCGATTTCTATTTTCTGCACTCTTTGCACTGTATATCCGTAACGGCTGGACTTGCCTTTGCCAAAAACTAATCAGCATTCTCCCTATCAATAGGAATCGAATGTTTTTTTAACCATTCAAATCGGTTGATCCGTGAGCCCGAAAACGTGGTCAAAAAATTAAGATATGCCAAAATGTTCAGAAACCTTCAAAACGTGAAGATATGCAAAAAAAATTATTTTCGATTTTCGGCTCATTACTATAACTTACCTTACGGAAAGTTAATAAATAACTATTCCAACTCTGATGATGAATATTTATGACGAAATAATGGATCAATTTTATATGCAGTGAAAAATTTACCCAAAAAATTTATATTTTGCATTGGTTGAATAATATAGCTATTATATCGTGAAATCTTTTCAAAATTGAAAATGTGACATTGAATCTAATTGCCTTTTGGTCTTTCCATTTCACCTCGCCCATGAAGTAAAAACTAACTTAATTTCAATATTTGTAATTTATTGATATATATTGCAAAAATATTTTATGAAAAAAAATGGTAGTTATATTTTTTGTAATTTCATTTTGAAATGATCATTTCAAAAAATGTTTCAAAATATTTAATTATTTGGAATAAATTCAAAGAGTTATTATAAAAATTCTTTCTCACTTCTATATATTAATATTATATTGTTAAAAATTATTAATTTCAAAATACACCAAAGATTGATTAACAAATTTAATGTTTGCGGTTGATCACGTTGTCCATTTCAAAGTAACATTTGAAACAAACGGAACTCTTAAATTTTTACATATTTGGCAACGCGGATGTCAATGCAACCAACCTATAAAAAACTCTCGTAAATGTCAAACTGACATGTAACAGGACACCGCCGACATTGGTCTTTCTTCATTCATTCCCGAGAAACAATTTGGTGACTTCTACTTAAAATTGTTTAATAAAACTACTGCCAAAATGTCGAATTTAAAATCGTATACTATGGATGAAGTCAAGAAACATAACACAGCAGAAAGTTTGTGGATAGCTATACACAATAAAGTATACGATGTCACTGCCTACAAAGAGGAGGTTAAACACATGTTTTTATAAAATTTTATTAATTTTTATGGAATATTATTAAATCAAGCATTTTTGCAGCATCCTGGTGGACCAGAGATACTTCTTGACAATGGTGGTACGGATGGAACGAAAGAATTCGATGATATTGGACACAGCCCTGATGCTAAGTGAGTTATAATATTTAAATAATATTTATTTAATAGTAATAATATAATTTTTTATTTTTCAATTTTTCATGAGTATAATATCTTCAAAAAATCTACTTTATACATTCATAAAATTATACATTTTTTTGACTATTATGGTCTTGTTCAGAACATGTAAGTCTGTCTGGGTCAGCAGTCGGGTAAATTACACCAAATGGGGTAAAAATAGAATTTTTTTTGTAAATAGTATATATTTTTAATTGGTTCTTACTGCATTTGTTACATCTGTGCACCAATAATAAGTCAGATTCAGTAAAATTCAAATTAAAAATTATTTTTTTTTTTTTATTTATTGATATAATATTTAATAATATGAGAGATTATGAAGCAATTTTCATATTTTATATATACATATCATTTGTCTATTTCAATATATAATAATAAAATAATTATTATAATTAAACTATCTTTAAATATCTATTCAATGTTTTTCATTCAATCAATTTCTTTATAAAATTTATTTTCTTTTTGAAGTAATTGTTGTTACTGGTATTTTACTTGCGCTTGATATCACATTTTCTCTTAATTTCTTCTTTCTATTATGTGCAATGTGAAAATGTTCGTGTTGTCTAGTGTAGTGTTCATGTATATCTTGATTTATGTCTATTGTTGTACTTGTTTTAATTCTGTTATATTTCATTTTGTGTATTAATTTGCATTTCTCTATTTTAATTATGTTGTTTAGTGAATGAATATTGGTTTCTGTCTGTAAGTATTCGGTGGAATACTTCATGGAATTTTTATAGCTTTATTTACTATTTAATTTAATTTAATATTTACTACAAAATTATCATGATGCTATAAAGAAGCATTTTTTTTATTTTTTGCCATAATATCAATTTATACAAAAATATTTTGGGTAAAATGATTAAAAAAGTTTGCGACCACTGGTCTACATGAATAAAAAATAACAATTTCAATATCTTCTTTAAAATATGACAAAAGAGAGCTAATTAATTAATTAGTACTAATATTTAATGAAAAGAAATTATATTGAATAATTCAAGAATTTTATTATGTTTGCAGAAAAATAATGCAGAAGTATTTAATCGGGACCCTTGAAGAAAAACCATCTAAATCCTCCACATATGATGCCCTAAAAGCTGACTTACAACAAAAGTAAGTAACTTAAAATTGTAATATATTTGTAATAATAGAAATATCAGATGCCTGTTAGTCAGTGTTCTAAAATTATGGTTTAAAAAACAGTTTATAATAATGTTTTTTTATAGTTTTTACAGGTATGCAGCAATTACTCTCGGTGTAGCTATATGTATTGGGGCCAACTTTTTAGTATATAAACATGTGTCCAAGTAAATTACAAAGATTGATAAAGTATTATTTCTTTGATGAAATAACGGAACACAAATTTGTCTTGCATGTTTAGTTTAATATGGGGGTTTTAGAAATTAATGTTTGTCACAATAGATGGTTTAGGTTTGCTAGATGCAATAATAAGACTTTTAATACCAAATATTTTATTATCTTTTTGTAAATATTATTATGAAACTATTTTAAAAATGGTCATCCATTATTGATTTACATGCTTAAAATTAGTAATATTTTATAATACTCATTGTTTATTAAATGATTTTCCTTTTCGTAATGTATTTATTGTGTTATATATAGGTGGTATATTTTAATAAATACGTGTATTACAATATTGCACTTGTTAACAAAAACTATATCAAACGGAACAATTACCAGTGAAATATATATATTTAGTTATAAATATTTGTGTGTATCTAACATAATCAAAATGCTTGGAGACAAAATGTCAAGTACAAAATATAGTAATTTGAATAAATATAGGGTGCGTTCGACTTGGACGCTTACGCGCTGTGAGCGCTCACGCTTATAAGCACGAATTTTTAGCGTTCGACTTGGCCGATAAGCGCTCAGAATCGATAACTAAATTCCGTTCGTTTTGGAAACTGTGAGCGTCAATAAGCATCAAAATGGCGGCAACTGGCGGTAACGGTAATTGTGTAAATTTTATTACTTTCTGGATCATTCAGCGGGATTATACACAATTTAACAATTAATAAATAAATAAAATTTGGTTTGCTTATGCTTAATTAATATTAATATTAAAATTAAAATTTAAAATTATTTAAAATTAATTAAATTTAAAATTAATTAATATTAATATTAATATTAAAAAATAATTGTGATATACAACTTGGCATTTTTGCGGGATTATAAAGAATTTAACAATTAATAAATAAATGAAATTTGGATAGCGTATGCTTAATTAATAGTTATATTAAAATTAAATTTAAAATTATTTAAAATTAATTGAATTTAAAATAAATAAATAATATGAATAAAATAAAATAAATAATATGAATAAAAAATAAATGTGATATACAACTTGGCATTTTTGCGGGATTATAAAGAATTTAACAATTAATAAATAAATGAAATTTGGTTAGCTTATGCTTAATTAATAGTAATATTAAAATTGAAATTTAAAATTAATTAAATTTAAAATTAATTAATATCAATATTAATATTAAGAAATAATTGTGATCTACAGCTTGCTATTTTGCGGAATTATAATGAATTTGACAATTAATAAACAAATGAAATGACAGATAGTAAAAACAACTGACGCTCACGCTCACGCTGCCCTACCTCTGTGGCGTGAGCGTATGTGAGCGCAAAATATGTGCTACGAGCATCCTACGATGGTGCTACGAGCGTACTTATGCCACACTCACAGCGCCAAGTCGAACGATGAAAGCGCGCTCACGGCGCGCTCACAGCGCGTAAGCGTCCAAGTCGAATGCACCCATAGTCTAGTATCTTTTAAATTTGTAATTGAAAAAATGATTATGATTTCAGTAACAATTTATTAAAATGTTACATTGAAAGAATCAATTTGTAAATTAATTTGGGGGCAATATGATAGTGCATATGTACATATTCATAAACATGGCTAGTAAATATTTTTTCTTTTATATTTCAAGATGTGGACATCAAAGATGCAGCATTAACTTTGTCATAAATATTGAATATTTGAGCACACAGCATAATAATTCGAGGTTGCATAATTTATTATATTTATTATAAAATAGAAATGGCTTTTTCTCCTCTAAACCCTTTATTATTGATTGCTTTATATTATATTTTTTTAAATAAGATATTTGATATTTTATTAAATGCATTTATTAATTAATAATTGAAAATTATGGTATATAACTATTTTTACGTTCTAGTTTGGATTATTATTGTAAGTGTACATACATTTTGAGGAAAAGTTTCATATTGTGAATCATTTTCAAAACACCCGCCAAAAACTAAGAACGTGTTATTTTTGAGGTTAAAAATTGGTTAAGAATATGTCAAAATCAAACACAATAAAAATGTATTCACATGTATATATTTTCTAAAAAATGAATTGTCTCTAGTGTTTAAATACATTGTTTTTATTGTCTTATTTATTTTAATATGTATTCCAGAATTGTGCAAGGATTTTCAAGATGTATATTGTTTGAAATTAAACAAAATAACATTAAACCACATGCACAAAGATTTGTGGGCACCGGTACTTATATTTATAGAATAAATAAGCTATAAATCCAAATTTTACTTTTGCAAAGTTTACTGGATCTAATATAATATTAATCGATTAGTTTTGAGTTCAGAAATTTAATTCATAAACCCTGGTCTGATTCACAAAGAATGTTAAATACCTTTATGATTCTTCAAATAATTCTACTAATTTAATTCTTTTTGATTGAAATATTCTCACTGATAATTCTAAGAAAAACTGTGCCAAAATACCTTGTATGATTTAAATTATATTTGTAATTCATCAAACATTTTCCTAAATGTGTTGTTCATATTCTCGATACAAAGTTTTTTAAACAGTACTAAATGAGTTTTGAATTGAGTCAGTTTAGTAATCGTTCAGAGTTATCAAAAAAAATACATATGAATTTGTGGCTTAATTTTAAATGTTCAGTAACTATTCAAATATTCAGTAACATATTTAAAAGCTGAAAAGTATATTTTTGTCTCAAAACATCAACATTTACTTTTGTTCTTGAAAGTTCATGATGATGAAATAGATCAATGATCTGAGACTATAATAAAATTGTGATTGATTTGCACAGAATATGTAAATTTAAGTTTACAATAATCAAACTCGTCAGATAATTATTTAATTATATATTACTATATAAAATACATTTACTTTTCATAAGTCATTCAATATTGCATTACTTTTTCATTATTTTTTCTAGGTAGTATCTATAAAAGTAACAAATATACTAATAAAGTCAGTTCAAATGATAATGGACACCATGAACAAGTTGGTGTTTTAGTCGAAAAATTTGAGTCAATTCCAGATAATAAGCAATGGGATGAATTGCGCAATGTAGTCTTAGGACAAAAAACAATGATTGATAAAAATAATATCGATGCAATAGTCCTTGGCTTTTGCAGTAAAAACTTAAATTTAACAAAGTCTTATGTTAATTATTTGAAAGCACATAATATCAATCCCAATTTTGCCACTATCGGTAAGATATTGAAATCTTATCATAACCATTATGAGAATAAAGATGTTCCTCCAGAAGAAATTGCATCAATTTTGGGATGGTAAGAGTTTGATTTTGTTTTATTAAATTTATATATATATATATATATATATATATATATATATATACAGGGCCGGTCCTGGGGTCCTCAGCGCCCGCATGCAAGATTTGTTCTAGCGCCCCCCCCCCCCAACCAATAATTTTAACTGCTTTAACAATTTTTCATTGAAATTATATAAACATTTACTTTATTTTTTTAAATTAATTTTTAATCATTCTAGATTTTTGTACACACACTTTAGTACACAAAAAATTAGATATAGTCTAAAAGCGTATAAAATACATTGATTTTAAATTTATTTAAAAACTCGGGGCTATTCGCGGGTTGATCATAATCAAATATTTTTAAATCTAACATAATTATATTAATATTTGTGATTTTGAAACATTTAACTTATTTATTATGCGATTTGTTCTAAAGAGCCTATCACGACAAAAGAGCAAAAGAAGACATAACACTCATATTCCATGTTTTAAATTAAATTTTATTTTAGTTTATTTTATCATTATTTATAATATCTAAAATTGAATTAAACTTCTCCTTATTGGTATCGTAAGGGCCAAATTGTATTCAGCTTTACTTTCCCATCATATTCAGAGTATCAGATTGTTATTTTAAAGTTAAACTTTTTAAAGTGTTAGTAAAGATTAGTAAAAGATACAAAGAAATTACATATTCCCTTAACTATACTGAAACAAACAAATTATATTTGTATCTTTATTATTTCTGCATAGTTAATAATTAAATTATGTGTAAAAAAATCTTAAAGATTTTGTTCCTAAGTACATTTTGCTTTCATTTTTCATATTTGCTCCATAAACCAAACCACGCATGACTTCAACGTTCAAAGTTCATCAGATGTGATATGTTTGCAACAAAAACAAAAGTTAAAATACAATTTTTCGGAATAAACAAGCCAGTTTTTGAGGACTGACTCCCCATTTTTCATTTTTTAACAAGTTCCATTTTAACTAAATCAGCTTGCTATTTTTCATCATTAACGCTCAATAATTAATTTAAACTTTTGTAGGTTTGCTCTTACGGGATTGAACACTAAATATTTTCTTTTTCGATTCCACGTTAACTTTAAACGAAGAAAAAAATTTAAGAGTACATTAAACAATAAGCAGAACAATAATTTACAAATTTGCAGAGTTATTATTTGGTTAATTGTTTCTATTGATATCACATTGCAAACTGAATATGCCTTTTATGACTCATAGTTAAGTTGGATTGTTTATTATAATCTATTAAGTATTCTAGATTTTATATTAAAAAAAATAAAAAATAATATATTATAAATCTCATTTCCGAACCTCGTTTTGGCGCCCCCTAAGGCGTGCGCCCGCATTTTTGCATGCATCGCATGCAAGGCAGGACCGGCTCTGTATATATATATATACATAGTGATAGTTTTCTAATTATTTCAGGTGTGAAAAGCTATTAAAGCTTGGAACTTTAGATTTTGTTAATGGAAGCAATGTTATTCATGGTTTGGTGCTAACTGAAAGATGGAAAGAAAGCCTCAAAATTCTTGATATGATAAAAATCACCTCAAAACCAAAATGCCAAATATATAGTATTATCGTTAGTACAGCATTTAATAACAGTGAAATTGAGTAAGATTTATCAAAATGCTAATACTCATTCTTTTGAAATGCATATTATTTTATTCATTCTATTTAAATTATTAAACTAGATTTTTTTTTATTATTTTTTGCATTTTATGACTTCAATGACAAAGCTTTGTATTTCTTAAAGCTTGTAGTTCATTTTTGTTTTATTTAAGATATTTTTGATGACAAAAATCATAAATTTTTTAATTAGCTTTTATTTCATTTCTAGTAAAATTTATAAAAGTAAAAAAATCATTAAACTAATATTATCTTAAGAGGAAAGTTTTTTAGCATCAAAACTTTTAATTTTTTTACTTGTTATTTTCCAAATGAATTTAAATTTGATAATTTTGAAAGATTAATCAATTTATTTAATAAAATAATTTATATAATAGATTGAAATTATTTATCTGAAGAAACATTATCATAACAATTTTATTGACTTTTTTTAGATGAAAAATAAATAGTTTATTACATGTTTCGATAAACGGTATTATATTTAATAACGTATCTTTCCATTATTTGTATTCGTCGTTTTGTTTTAAAATATTTTCTTGAGAATGAGCTTTCAAATTAAAATTGTTGTGCAAGTACTAATTTAATTTTATTTAACAATTGAAATTTATTCAAAATCTTTCAGAATAGGTTGGAATCTTTTTGATGAAATGTTACAAATGGATAGACAACCTACATGTTCTGTATATGAATCGTGGATAAACTATTGCTTGAGAAATTTTGAACAACATAATAAAAGTGAAATCTTACTCCAAGATTTAGAAAAAATGCTTAAAATTATAGCAGATAATGATATTAGAGTTTCTAAAGATGTAGGTATGAAATTTGTAAATGCCTTCGAAAAAATTGGATGGACAGGAAATATTTCAAAAGTTGTTCAAGGGTAAATAACTATTTATTTTGAATATAAACTATTTTTTTATCGTTTCAAGTAAGGATTTTTTTTTAGAAATCTATGAGTGAATAACAAAATTGTGTGCTCATAATTATGAAATCAGTTTTAACTATAGGAATCTTATATTGTAAGATTTAATACTTTGATTGTTAATTATTAAAATTACTACTCTGTTATAACAGTTACTAAATATTATTTTTAAATCACATTCATAATTGAAATCTGTTAATTTGATTTGTCAAGAAATATTTGATATGAACAAGTTGATTTGATTATCGATTGGGTATTTTTATAAATATAGTTTAAAGGTTTTTATTTAATGCTAGAAAGTGGAGCAAATAAGATAGTGATATTTCATAGAGTACATAACAAATAATTTTCTTTTATATTAATGTTTTTTTTTATGAAATATTTATCTATCATTTATCAATAACATTTTGTTTATTTTATTTATTAGTTATTTATTTTATGGTTCTACTAATTACAGTTCAAATTGCAAAGCATGCAAAGAAAAATTGGCACCTATAAAAGTATTGGCCAAGGATTTCAAAAAGTTACAAAAGGAATTTTTGAATCGTGTATTGATAAGAAAAGATGTATTCGTGAGGTCAAACCCAACAGAATTAGAGAATTTTCGGACCATGATCAAACAGACTGCTCCATATGATGTAGTTATAGATGGTCTAAATGTTGCTTTTTGTTCTGGAAAGAAGAAGTACAATGAGTTGGCCAACATTGTGAGTATATAAATATTTTTGTTAGTAAGTTTAAAATTCTTGAACCTCAGTTTTTTTGTGAATATGTAGGGTAATGGGAGTAACTACATATTTTAACTAATTATCACTGGCATGTGAGTTCTATAAGCCATCATAAAGTTTATCATTAAATATTAACTAAAAACTAAATCAGTTATCAATCATTTTTATCAATGTGAATCAAAAATCATAAATATTTATTTGTAAAGTATAGTATTTAATTGTGTAAGTATTATAATAACCATGTAATTAGCTTTATCAAGGTTTTTAATCATAATTAATTTTTCATAATTAAAACTATATGTATATATAATTTATAATAATTATAAATTTCTATTATAGCTGACAAATGTTGTTCAACATTTCACCGATCTTGGGAAGAACGTTTTGGTTCTTGGAAGAAAACACATGATAAAATGGTCTCCTGGTAAATTAAAATATTTACAACAGAAGGCACATGTATTTCTAACAGAAGACTTGTAAGTTCCTAATATCATGTTTTTTAAATAGTAATAAATTAGCATTCAATTACCCAAACCTAGTAAATAGTAACCAATTAGCATGTGTTTTAATGCTAGTTGATAAGTTATGTTATATTTACTACATAAAGTGTCTAGTATAATATATTTATTTATAAGATATAAACTATTTTTGTCCTGCTTATGATTCCAGATCCTTTGATGATTTATTTTTGTTACAAGCTGCAATTTCTAGTGGCCCTAAGACTATTATTGTATCACGTGATTTGATGCGTGGTCACAGATTTCTTTTGGAAGACTCAGAATTAAGAGAGACATTTAAAAAGTGGCAGCTAAGTTGTCAATATCAAATTGAGAGATATAATAATAATGGAACAATTATTTTAACGGTAAATCTTGCTTTTTATGATTTGTTATTATTAATTCAAAGAATTGTTTGTGTTGTTTTTATGAATTACTATTAAAACTATTATTTTTCTCTTACTATTGTAAATACTGAAGCTTCTTCTGACATTATTTTTAACTAAAAGAAATTGTTCTCTTCTCTTGAAGATTTTTATTTTTCATCTATTTCATTTTTTAATACTGCCATGTAAAATTATAATTTTACACAAATTAAACATTTGCACAAACTAAAAATTTGTATGTTTTATAGTATTTCAGTTAATAACAACTAGGTAACACTTATTTAAATTTTTAATTCATATTTTACCTGTTTGAGAAAACGTCAACAAAATGTCCAACTTTGGCTCACATTCATATGCACACTGTTTCCAATTTTGGTAGCAAACCATTCAGAATGATTTAAAGCACCGACACAATGTAAAATTTGTAAATTGTTTTTTCTGGCAAAAACATAAACTTCTAGAAGCTAATATTAATTTTCTCACAATTATTATTAATTCTCTCACAATCAATATTAAAATTTTAGCAATTAATTTATTTCTTGGATTAATTATGAAATATATATAATTATCAGTTATAGTTCTTTTAAAGAAGCTGGTTTTTGGTTTGCAATATATTAATAAATTGTAAATTTAAGCTGCTGCATCATTTGTACTTATTGTCATTCTATTTTACCTATTTTATACATTTGTTTAATTAACATGTATTTAGTTAATCTATTTTTTTTTATTTTAAGGACAATGAAATAAATTATTCAATTATTACATTTTTTTCATGTTTATTTCAGCCTCCATTGAAGTATCTTCCCAGTGCACAAAAAAATGATAATGGATGGCACATTCCTATTGTTGAGGAATACAAACCAAACACTAACTATTTCTTAGACCTGCCGCAGGAATGGATATGCTTAAGACCAAAAACTTAGAGAATGTCACGACTGATCAGGTTAACTAGAGATTTTATTATTAACTATATAAATGAATATTATTTAAGATGATGTTTGAATATTATTTATATGAATAAAATTTGTCAATAGAATCATAAAATTTATATATATTGCGTATATGTTAAAAATTAAGAAAATAAGGACATATAATAAGAAAAATATTAGATCATATATCTTCAGCAAATTTATAGTTTATAAATTGTAAAGTCACAATGGTTCTATAAAATAAATGAATCGGTACACATATAAAAAGCACATTTTAATAACTATTAACAATAACTATTTTATTTTATCTTTATGAATCATTATTTTCTTCTTCTCTTCGGGCATTTCTAACGAGGGTATTTAGATAATCATAAGTAAAATTGATGTAATTCACAATTGATGTCATTGTCTCTGAAAATACAGATCTTACTACTGGCGGTAAAGATTGATAGGCGTTTTCTGAAATTTGTCTCCAACCGCCGTTGTTATGATACCAAGTCTATAAAATAAAGACAAAAATATTAAAAACTATTCTAATTATTATAATAATATATACATTATTTAAAATTATTATAAATCATAAGTAAACACAATATTTCTAGAACAATTTGCATATTTTTAACTTTCCGTAGGGTAAGTTATAGTAATCGCAAAAAAAATCGAAAATGAAAGTTTTTGCATGTTTTTACGTTTCAAAGGTTTCTGAACATTCTGCCATACCTTAGAAAAAAAATGAATGGATACAATTTTTCGTCCACGATTTCGGGCGCATGAATCAACCGATTTGAATGATTCAAAAAACATTCGATTTCTATTGATGAGAAGACGTGAAGATTAGTTTTGGGCCGTTTCAAAGATATAGCGCAAAAAGTGCCAAAAACGGTAATTCAGTTTTTTAGAGAACGAAGCACTCGATTTGAATAATTCAAAAAACATTTTACTTGTATTGATGAATTCAGGCAGGTTTAGTCGTTTCGGAGATACAGAGGAGAAAGTAAAACAAAATATTTGGCGGTCAATAATGTTTATTAGACATATACACATCAAATTATCAGATATTTGATAGAGTTTCTATAAATGAGTATTAATTTTGTTACAATTTTGTTGGGTGCCGTATCAAGATATTTATTTTTTAAAGTTCACTTATACGGTTCAAATTAAAAATTTTCAAAGTATTACATATGCGTGATTCTAAGCATAAGAAATATATCCTCAGTTAGATTTATTCGGCATCTCTTTATAATCTAGTACGGAAAGTTCCAAAAAGGGCATTTAGTGACCAAGAAATATATTTGGACATATACAAATTATTATTGATTCAGTCAATTTTAATATAATGTTTCAGCCGACTGATGTTAAAGAAAAATGAACAAGATTTTCAAATTCTCTACGGTTTTTTGAATACAATACCTTACTTTTAATGTTACAAATCTTACTTGAAGTTCATCCAATTTTGCTCGAACAGTATCCATTTGGAAACGGGTTCTTATTGATGTTGCAATAATGGATCAATACGGTATTAGGATTGAATTCTTGTTTTTGGCACCGATAAAAAAATTCTTCACATTTTACTCTTTAATTAAAAAATAGTATTTGCTTCATATGGAATCAAGTTTTGTTGCATTTCTGTAAATGATCTTTATCAACTTTATGTTCAATATTGTTTAAGGTGATTGTAGATATTTATTTTAATTTATTTATAGGAAAACAATTCATCATATATATTATTCATAAATACTTTACTTTAAAAAATAATTAAGTTATTGATCTTTCATATCTGAAATTAATATTTATCTTTTATTATTAATTACAAATGTACCTGTTCGAAGGAGTAAACCGTTATAAAATACAATGACCGGCATTGTGTAATATAAAACCTGTGTCTCACTTAATTTAAGTAATTCTTAATTTAGATGAATTCACAACTTAAATTTTAGACACACAATAAATTTAGAAAACTATGGATCAAATAAAGCTTTTGTCAAATTCAAAATGTCAAAACACAGTATTCAAAATTCAAGTATTTTATCATGTTCTAATTGTCAAAATTTTTGTTAAAATTCAAAAAAATTGATTACATTTTAAAAATAGAAATGAATTCTGCTTAGGTGAGTCTTTATTAAATATGCGTTTAATCGTTATTTGATAGATGTTGTTAGTTAGAGAATTTGAAGGAAAATTTAACAATCATATAAAATTTTCTATTCAGACGTTTTGAACTTATCTTTTCTATTCAGAATAAAACAAACTAACTTTAAGCTAAATAGCCTAAACAGCATATGGGTAGTTAATGGTATAATTTTCGCATGGCACATTGGTATAGTAGTACTATATCAGAGTAATTATTTTTGATGAAAAATTAAGTAAATTTATTCTTATGAGCTAAATGTAAATGTACATAAATACGTATTTTTGTGAAATCTATTCAGATGTTTTCCTGAAACCCTGAGTTTTGAAAAAACACGAAGTGAAAGTACCTTACATACAATGTTAAAAACTGATAAATGAAGGATCATCATAGTCACATTTTCTCGCCAAATTTAAATGAATAAAATTTTTATTGGATCAGAAATATTGATCAGTGGCAATTTCTGATCAGATCAGAAATATTGATCAGTGGCAATTTCTGATCAGATTAGAAATATTGATCAGTGGCAATTTCTGATCAGATTAGAAATATTGATCATTGACATTTTCTGATCAGATCAGAAATATTGATCGCAGTGGCAATTTCTGATCAGATCAGAAATATTGATCAGTGGCAATTTCTGATCAGATTAGAAATATTGATCAGTTACAATTTCTGATCAGATCAGAAATATTGATCGCCGTGGCAATTTCTGATCAGATCAGAAATATTGATCAGTGGCAATTTCTGATCAGATCAGAAATATTGATCAGTGGCAATTTCTGATCAGATCAGAAATATTGATCAGTGGCAATTTCTGATCAGATTAGAAATATTGATCAGTGGCAATTTCTGATCAGATTAAAAATATTGATTAGTTGCAATTTCTGATCAGATCAGAAATATTGATCAGTGACAATTTTTGATGAGATCAGAAATATTGATCAGTGGCAATTTCTGATCAGATTAGAAATATTGATCAGTTGCAATTTCTGATCAGATCAGAAATATTGATCCGTGGCATTTTTGCTAGTTTTATATTTTTCAGCGTTGTTCTGAATCGTTTGACACCGAAATTTGATATAGTATTTGTGAATGTATGTGAGCGTGAGCCAAAATTTGAACTATCGTCAAATTTCGTGTTTTCAAAAATGGCTGCACCGATTCCTAAAACTTAAAATCCGATAAAGGCTGGCGTTAATTAGTTTTGTGACCGGTGAAGTCGTTTCTTTATAATTACCAGATAAATACAAAAAAAATTGAACACGTGTTCGTCAAAAATTCTGAAATAATTTTGAAAATTCAAAAAAGTGTTCGAAAGTTAACATTGGGAGTTTTTTCTGGTAAATTTTTGATAAAGATTGTCAAAAGATTTAACAAGTGGTTAATAATTTAGCAATTTAATCGCAATAAACTAAGTCAGCTCACTTGCTCTCTGGCGAGTTTATGTTTGTGAACCGAATATAATTTGTGAATTGTTGTTATAGAATATATGTGTATAGTAATTAATTTTCTTTTACAGAAAGCTAAAGAGCACAAATAAATGATTTTTAAAATGTTTTCACCAGCAACCGGATATAAGAAAGTTGAGATGTCCAGGAAATAATCAAAACTATTCTTTACTTTTAAATTAACATTTGTTACTTATGAGTTTTACGTATATTTTGAAAGTATGTCTTCCCGGAACATTGCATCCGAGGAGTTCTTGGTCACCAAGGATTTGGATGCTAGGCTAAGAGCATATAACAGAGAGCAAAATGTCATAACACATTTTTTATCAAATAAACAGTTGATGGGCATATCATCGGTCTATGCAAATCGGTTGCTAAGGAGAGGAGGTAATAATAATTTTAGAACAGATACAGATTTGCACTAGATAATATATCCATCTTTCTTCCAATTTCTATTAATAACTTCTCTAAGGAAAAGTTTGTTTTTGCCAGAAAATCCGATTTGCTCATTTTAGGTTTTCTCAACGTTTCAAGTTTCTCTTAATCGTTTGAGACCAAATTAGGAAAAAGTGTGCGTATGTGAGCCTATTTTTGATCTTTCGAAAAGTTATACGAGTTTATAAAATTCTAAAAACATTTTATGACTTGTTTTGTTTTCTTTCACGATAAAAAATAATTTGTAAAGAAAATTCAAGGTAATCGACCGTAATACTTTTTATTAGGCAAGGGTCTAGCAATTTTAGAGAAATATCAGACGAATGATTCAATTCGTCCAAATTTTAATAAAATATTAAGTGATCAGATTTAATTGACAAACTGAGGCCATTATAGGAATAATTTTAAATATTATATGTTTTGTTATAACATGTTAAACCTCTTTAATAATTAATAGTTTTTGGGAAACGAGTTGGGCAAGTTCAAAAGCCAAGCCATGAGAAGAGAAAAGATCAGGCTAGATTTCTATCTAGGCCAGTCCTAGCTAAGTTGGAGCCAATTGTCGAACACCGCTTCCAACAGGTTTCAGAAGATCATATTGAACCAAAATGGCCTCTTCTTCCTTTGAATCCTAGAAGTGACAACATTGAACATTTGCCTAGTGGCGAGGAAACTAAATCTGTAAGTTTAGCAAATTTTGAACCGCATCCTGTGCTTTTTGAATTGAAATCCAGAATCATCGAAGATCCTAAACAAGAATTCAATTTTCAAGACAATGATTTATTATCAAGAGATCAAAACGCTGGAACAACGATAATAATTTCAAGTATTTCTCAGCATAATGACGCAAAACCAATAGAAAAAGCACCATTGATAGTGAACAATACTAAACAACAAAATCATTTGGTTAAAACGGCACAATTAAAAGCAAGTGGTAATTCAAGTTCTGCAAAATCAAACATGACACAGAGAGCAGCCCATAATTCA